TTGGCAGGGGTTTTTGGTATGCAATTTCCCAATCTCTATTCCATGCATGAGAAAATTAAATTTCAAAATGAAGATGCTCAACCTTCCACACCACGACTGCTACCATGAATTCAGAATTTACACCCAACCTCAGACGTCAAACCAAGGATCTCCCCACATCCCAAAGTTGTCTGCTTAAACAATTTCAGTTCTTTCTTTTTGCATATTTCTTTTCAACCCAAATTGTTGGGGAATTATCTCAAAACTTGTCGCTCTCCAAGTAAATGCCTCGGGTTGGCCTGCAACCAGGTCCCTGGGACTCCGAGCTCTGCATCTCACCTGAAGTCGGGCCTAAGCCTCTCCCACATCCAAACCCTGTAGCTGTCATGGATGCCCGTGGAGCTATTTCTAGAAGTAAGGGGAAGGGAACATGTGGATGGTGCATACTGAGGTTTTCTAAGTCTATAAATATTTTTGCTGAGGCCACCCAGAATTTTAACTCAACTGATTTTAAGATAAATTGCTTCCTGAGGAAAAACATCTTTTCCTCACTCTTCCCTCTAACACTCTGCATTCCCACCACACACACACACACACACACACACACACACACACACACTTTTAGATATATTTGAGAATGCTTTGCAAAGTCTGTGGAAAAAAGGAATTAAAACATAGTTAAATTGTCCCAAGGACTTTTTGAAGCTCCATTTTGTGTGCATTCATATGAGTGGGCTTCAAAAACTTCCTGGAAAATATTCATTATCCATTAATCCCATCTTTTCATGGACTTTTTGGAGCACGCGCGCGCGTGTATGTGTGTGTGTGTGTGTGTGTGTGTGTGTGTGTGTGTGTGTGTTGTTTTTATCTGCTACTAGAGGCCTGATGGCACAGTGGGTAAAGGGCTAGTCTTCTAACTGAGAGGTTGGTGGTTCTAACCCACTCGCTCCTCTGAGGGAGAAAGATGAAGCATTCTGCTACGGTAAAGATTTACAGCCTCAGAAATCCTATGGAGTTCCAGTCTGTCCTACAGTGCTCTAAATCGAACTAGCCACCAGCGGGCTTGGTTCAGCCTTCTCCTTATCGCAGTGTGCTCAATGACAGGAATGCTGATAACTAACAGCATCCATGGCTGATTTCTCTCGAGAAGAAGAAGAGCACGTCGATCTAATTCTCGCAGGTCTCTGTAAAAACCCACCCGCTGCCATCTAGTTGATCCCCACTCATATTGACCTATGGGACAGACTAGAACAGCGCCTTTGGGTTTCCAAGACTATCAATCTTTATGGAAGGAGACAGCCCCGTCTTTCTCTTTAAAATCTGTATGCAGAAAGAGACTGGGTGTCAACGGTCTGGGGAACTGTCCATGGGTGGATTCAAGTGCATTTTTAAACCCCCCCCAGAGGAAGATGGGGCTTTTGACTCCATAAAGAGTCTTAGAATTGTCCCCCAGGGATAACTATCGTCTGTCCTCTAGGGTCCGGAGGAGCTGGCATCGACTCGATGGCATGAGTTTGGTGCTTGGCTTGGGCTACCTTGGAGCAACTAGACTACTCCTTCAGGGCTGGGAGAAGCATGACAGGAGCAGGGGAAGTTTAATTTATGACCTTAAAATGGTGGGGAAATGAAAATGTGCACTTGTACACTCAGTAGCTTGGTCACTTGGGAGACACAATCAGCTGTTTATATATATTTTTCATAAAAAACATGATCTCTATCCATCAATGTTTCCTCACTTTACTAGGTCAACGGCGATGAAATCCAAATGCAAACACTGACAGTGCATGTGCTTTCTACATGTACCTTATCCATTAGGAGTACCACCCCTACTGTATTAAAAGGAATCAATGATAAGAGTATGTCACAATTTTCAAATGTTAAACACAGGCAGTAACAATGTGTGCAATCCAAAATACCTTCCCTTTCAAAATCAGTGGTAACATTCCTCTCCAAGTATGTGATTTAGATTCCAAGCCTCATCAGCCATACTTTCAAGTATCTTCTGAACAATAAAGCACACAAGAGACTCGGGAAATTCTGGCCCATGCTCTAACAAGTGTCTTTTTTACACTACTTCTCAAATCAAGGCCCCTACTGGGAACTAAGAGTCATTTTAATTAGACCAAACCAAGCAGAGAACCAGTTTGCTGGGGATTTGCCACAGTCACTTGTAACTCAGAGCGCTTTTCTTAAGTCCACATGGACCTTTTGGGAGTAAGAATGTCTCTCCAAAGGGGTGATAAAGCTAAGGGTGGCCAAAATGAAAGTCCAGAGAAAAGCTCTGTCACATTCATTCTCTATTTCAATAGGACACATTTAGCCTATTGTCCGAAAGCCAATTATTTTTCATGGGTGCAATATAGTGTGGACCAGGGTCACACCCTCCATAACAATGTGTGTATCTAGGGATCAGGGCCGACGCCAGGACTATGAAACCCCAGGAGCCCCTGCTGTGCCCATTCCTGTGCTGGTTCTTTCTATCTGGGAGCAGCAGCCCTGCGTGGCTCATTCTCATTTCCACGTCATGCTCCTCAAGGTTTCCTAACATGCTGCTTGGCACGTTGCTCTCCCATCACGCTGACCACTTCCTGCCCATGTCTGTGTCTTCGGACAGCAGTTAGAAGACCTTGCATACCAGCAAGGAGGAATTTAAGCAGGAAGCAAGAAGAAACAGGTCACAGGGCTCTGCTATTAGTTCTGAAGCCTAAAATCGATGGCAAGCAAGCCAAGTTTATCTTCCCACTCACACACGCACGCACGCATACATACACACACTCACACACACATACAGACACACTCACACACACAGATACACACACAGCCAACAACAACCAAACCACACTAGCTGCCATTGACAATATGCTGACTCATTGTGATCCTATAGGACACCGTAGAATTGCCTCTGAGTTTCCGAGACTGTAACTCACGTAAGCACAGAGCAAATATTAACTGACATGGTTTCTGAGTTTACCAACAATTTCACATAACAGCTTTAAATAATGCCCAAAGAGTCACATAATAAAACCAGTTGCTGGCAAGTCGATTCCAACTCACAGTGACCTCATGTGTAACAGAGTCGAATTAGGTTCCACGGGGTTTACAATGGCCTTTCCCCTCCCCTAAAGTCTACCGTTAGGCCTTTCTTTCAAGATGCTTATAAGTAGACTTGAACCTCCAGCCTTTGGGTTAGCAGCCAACCAGGCACTCCATTCAGAGGACACATATTTTCTCCTCAATTTCATTGTTTGTGTTTGAACTTGTCAATCAAAGGCAAAAAGATGTCATTTGTTTCCATTGTGCTGCAGCTTGCAAACCTCTGAAAAGGGCATCCAATTTGGGAATATCTAGGTACTTTTGAAAACTGTACTACTTGACCAAGGGCTCTAACAAATCCCTGGAATGTGTTGGCTCTCTCACTCGTTTGTGAACTACTCATTTGTGAACTGCTCAGTATAGCCATTCCTCGTGGCCAGAAGCCCGAGGCCCTAACTCTCTCCCAGCCTGGTCTTTCTCGGTCCTACCTGGACATTATACCAGGCCAGGAGGTTCCCTGGGAGCTTCTCATGCCAGCAGGGAACCAAGTCCGCTCAGAGAGAGCTTTAGAAACGGACTCTCACAGAAAAGTAATGGCAGCTCATTGGTTCATTCCACCAGTGTGTGCATAAGAAAGATCAGAAGGTCAAGGAGACATAAGAAAGGCAACATGGCCCCTGGGTTAGACGCCACCCAGCCCCACACTGTCTGCCTGAGGCGGTCATGAGGGCACAGCAGCTGAACAGAGGAAAGGCCAGGACTACCAGAGTCACCCAAAGGTGATTCTTAACACCTGCCCAAGGGGAGAGACCCACAGACTGTTTTAGAAACTCGCAACCTGGGCGCTTGTCTCCTGACCCTGTTTCTGGTTAAGGATGAGAAGGTCTGAGCATAAATACCAAGGTGGCTTTAGCACGTTGGTTTGACTATTCCGCTTTTCTCCGTCATGTGGCTCTCTTCCACTCAGCGCTTCTCAGCAAGCCCCTCCCAAAGGGTGGAGGCTCAGAAAACCGTAGGGTTGAGACACGCACGACAACTCTAGCTGCGAAGGCCCCAAGTAAGAAAATGGTCCTGGAAATTGGTTCCCAGGCAAAAGAAAAGAGCACCAAAGTTGTGCTTCTCTCACCGTGAACAGGAGCCCTGGGGGCGCTGGGAGTTAGGTTGTGAGTGAATCACAGGATGAGCAGTTAGAATTCTACCAGGAGAAAGATGAGGCTTTCTGCCCCTGCAAAGAGTGACAGCCTGGGAAACCCAGAGGGGACAGGTCTACCCCGGGCTTTAGAGCGGCTGTGGATCAGAATCAAGTTGACAGGAGTGAGATTCCACCGTTGACGTTCGTAAGGGCCATTGAGTTCATGTCAACTCGCACCAAACCCCACTGGACAGAGTAGAACGGTCTGGCCGCCGAGTTTGCTTGGTGGAGTAGATCCGAGATTGCTTGGTGGAGTAGATCACCGAGTCTCCCTCCCTCGGAGCCACTGGGTGGGTTTGCACTGCCCATCTTTGATCAGCCACCAAGTGCTGAACCACCATTGCGACACCTCCTCTGGATCCTTGAATCACCGTTGGGAGATGGAACGTACACCTCAGAGAGCTATGTCACAGCAAAATGTGCCCCTAGGAGTGGCTTCGTGACTGCAGCAGGTCCCCTCACCTCCCTGGAATTTGGCACCTCGTCTCAAATAAGGACCGTGCCCAGTCTCAGTCAAGCGCAGTACCCATCTCCCACTGCCCTGCGGGAGTGTGTGGAGCTGACCCTGATCAGCCCAGGGTCCCTGGAGGCCCATGCCTTGCACACCAGTGACTGAGTCCACAAGTGGGGGGAGTAAGGAGAAACGTCGAACCGCCCCGGGGTCCAGGAAGGTTCAGTGTTAAACGCCGCCGGTGTGGCTTCAACAATTTGTTTTTAGGCTATCTAGCCCGGGCCCATCTGCAAAGGGGCTGAGTTGTTTGTTTTGCTTTCTAAACAGTGTTTCTCTCCCTTAAAGGAACTTGCCAAGGATGCAGAAGGAAATGAAGATGAGCAAAGAAGAGGATGTGCACTTCACTCTGGGTGTGAAGAGGGCTCCCTCTTTCCCCCATTGCCTGCCGCCGCCGGTGGGGTCCCGGGAAAAGCCCCCCCTGAGGCACCCCTTCCCAGAGGCTCTCCGTGGCCATTTCCCCCAGTTTCGATATGAACCCTCTCCGGAAGACCTAGACGGGTTCCCCGGGGACTTCGAAGGAGGAGGGTCTCGCAAACGGAAGAGCGTGCCCACCAAGATGCCCTCCAGCCACCCCGAGGAAGAAGCGCCCCTGGCTGTCCCCTCGGAGGAGAACGAAAACCCCGGCTCGGCGAACCTCCCTTCACAGTTCCCGCAGCCCCCGCGCCCCAAGTACGACTCCCGTATGATCGATCTGTGCCACGTGGGCCTCCAGTTCTGCCGCCCCCTGGAGCCCCTGGGGGGCAAGCCCATCAAGCAGGAGCCCGTGAAGCCCAGCGCCGTGTGGGCCCAGCCGAGCCCCGCGCCCTTCCTGCCCGCGCCCTACCCCTACTACCCCAAGGTGCACCCCGGCCTCCTGTTCCCCTACTTCCTGCCCGCCTCCTCCCCCTTCCCCTTCAGCCGGCACCCCTTCCTGCCCAAGCAGCCCCCTGAGCCGGTGCTGCCTCGCAAAGTGGAGCCCCGGGAGAGCGAGGAGGCCAAGCAGAAGGTGGAGCGGGTGGACGTGAACGTGCAGATCGACGACAGCTACTACGTGGACGTGGGCGGCGCGCAGAAGCGCTGGCAGTGCCCCACCTGCGAGAAGTCCTACACCTCCAAGTACAACCTGGTGACCCACATCCTGGGCCACAGCGGGATCAAGCCGCACGCGTGCACCCGCTGCGGGAAGCTCTTCAAGCAACTCAGCCACCTGCACACGCACATGCTGACGCACCAGGGCACGCGGCCCCACAAGTGCCAGGTGTGCCACAAGGCCTTCACGCAGACCAGCCACCTGAAGCGCCACATGATGCAGCACAGCGAGGTGAAGCCGCACAACTGCCGCGTGTGCAGCCGCGGCTTCGCCTATCCCAGCGAGCTCAAGGCCCACGAGGCCAAGCACGCCAGCGGGCGCGAGAACATCTGCGTGGAGTGCGGCCTCGACTTCCCCACGCTGGCCCAGCTCAAGAGGCACCTGACCACCCACCGGGGCCCCATCCAGTACAACTGCTCCGAGTGCGACAAGACCTTCCAGTACCCGAGCCAGCTGCAGAACCACATGATGAAGCACAGGGACATCCGGCCCTACATCTGCTCCGAGTGCGGCATGGAGTTCGTGCAGCCGCACCACCTCAAGCAGCACTCGCTCACCCACAAGGTGAGCCAACTGCGGGCGCCGGGGCCCTGCTGAGAGGCCCGGGGTCTCCTCTCCCACCACTGGAGGCCCCGAGCACCCGTTTGGTCCCTTGAATGGGAGGAGGCAAGACCTGATTCCAGTCCTTTCCCTAACAAGGAGTGCCAAGGTGGTGTGAATGGCAACACACTTGGCGGGGAGCCGAAAGGTTGGCGCCTCCCAAGGCCTGGGGTTCGACTTCCAGAAACTCAGCCCTTACGGTCCACAACAACACACAGGGACTGCGGAGGCCCACAGGGTCGCCACGAGTGGGAATCTACTTGTTCACAGCGGGTACCCCCCACCCCAGCTCTCTGAAGTCTAAGGTGGGCCCCAGACCAGGTGACCCAGACAAGAAGAAGGCAGACATTTTGGCGTGGAGGGTGCAACGCAGGGATGAAGGAAGCAGAGGGTGGTTGTGCTATTGTTTCCTGCCGCCCCCTCCTCACCCGTCTCCACCAATCCCTGTAATTCTTTTCTGGAAATTTCATTCAGGGAGCCAGCCTAAGGAAAACTCCCCGGCCAGGCAAATGGCATCTGAGGCAAATGGCCTCAGATTCTACCTACCTAAGACCAATTCTCCCCTGAGGTACACCGGTCAGAACTTTCTCTTCTTCTGCTACTGAGGCAGCGGCCACCTGTTGGGTGGTTTTCTCTCTTGGTTGTGAGAGTTGCTTAGTGTCGGGTTGACCTTGAGGGAAGGAGAGCCGGGCCCAAGCCCCACAGGCCCTGAGGTTCCCCGCATTGAGCCTGGTTATACCCCGAGACTTGTGTTGCAGAAGGCACAAGAATGCCCCCTTTCTCTGCTGGTGTTGGTTTTATGTTCCCTTAGCTCAGGTCCTCAAGGAGAAATATAAGGCTAAGACCCTACATTTGGCTTAGTTTGGAACCAAATCCCTGGTGTCTGGCCAAAGCAAGTCCCTTGAGATGTCTCTGAAATGCTTTCCCCAGCTTCCCAAATGGGAGTTTCGCCCTACTCCCCTCTACCCTCACTCCCTGGACAGCCAGTAACTCCCTCGGCCGTAGAGACTTCTAGCAAGCCAGAGTTTCTAAAACATTCTTTAATTCTGAAAGGTCAGTGGAGGACACTGCCCAGCCACGATACCTTTTCTGCTCTGCGAGAATGGGTTTCATTTGTTAGGTTAGAACAAAGCACGGGGCACTTTCTGGCTCTGTGGCAGAGTCAAAACATGGGCTGCCCTGTGGGCCCTACACAAACAGCTCCTGCCCTGGATTTTCAGAAGGCACCTGGAGGTGCCATCCAGGGAGCAGTCGTCCTACCAAGTCCTGGAACTGCCAATGGATGGCCGAGTCACAAAGTCAGCCAGCAGCGGAAGCCAGGGAGTCCTGCATGTGGAGAAAAGGGATCCCCCATCACTTTTTAAAATAATGAAGAGAGGTCTAAAAACATATACATAGCCGAAAATGAAATAAAAATGGGAAGAGCCGCCTGGTGCCTGAAATAAGCTCTGTTTTCATTCGGAGATGTTGTTTGGTGCTTTGTTAATGACAGATGCATTCGTGAGAGGCTGTGTTGACTGAACAGTCCCTGGTGGCTCAGGTGCTGCAGCACTGGACTGCTCACGGAGAGGTTATCGGCAACCAACGGATGGAGAATATTAGAGTTGGACAGAATCTCCAGGTTCTGTCACTTCATCTTGAGGCGAGGAAGGTGACCCCGCCCAAGGCCACGTGACCTGTCTAAGGCTAGGATGCAGCTAGTTAGTGGCTGGGCAGAGAGCTGAATCCGCCATCGAATGCAGTGGCTTTGCCAACACCGATGCGTGGTGCTTTCCGCCCATGCCCCAGCGTAAGGCAGAGGAGAAGCAGCAGGAGGGAGGGGCCGAATTGCTTGGAGTTCCCAGCGTCCTTGCGTCACTGTGGACACCGGACTATCTGGGCTTTGTAAGTGGGGGTTAGTAGTTGCCCTTACCTGATGTTGTTGTTGTTGTTAAGTGCCATCGAGTTGGTTCCGACCCATAGGCACCCCAAGTACAACAGCAGGAAACACCATCCGGGCCTGAGCCCTCCTCACCCTTGTGGCTCTGTTTGAGCCCATCGTCGCAGCCAGGGTGTCAATCCATCTCCCCAGGGGTCTTCCTCTTTTTCATGAATTGTGCAAGATCCTTCATTTCCATGCCATGGCTCTCTAAGTTTTCCTTCCTCAAAATCTCTCCTGCACGGATCTCTTGCAAAGGTCTTGTCAGGGACTCGATGGTCAGTCACAGATGCTCAGCTCCCGCCACCACGGCAAGTATTGAGCTGCCATGCCCAAACCCTTCTCCACACACAGTGCTCCAGCTCAGAAAGCTGTGGCCTGTCAACTGTCTCTGTAAGACAGAAGCCAGCTTGGGGGGGGGGGGGTCCCTAGCCATGTCCCACAGAGGTCACTGTGCAGGGGCCTATTGGGGCCCAGGAGGCCAACTTGACAGTCTGCTCTAATTTATCCAAGTGCAGCTCTGAGTTGGTTCTCCGGGACTTTCAAGAACATTAATGAGAACCTGATTGAAGGTTGGTTTTCATCTGGGAAATGATAGCATCCGTGTTAGAAAGCTTTATTTTTTCCATTCTCATGAAAGCTGGGTTGTAGACTCATTCTATAGATCCTTCTACTGTGTTCTCGCCTAAATCCTATTAATCATGGAGAACTCTTACTGGAGCGTTGGCCCTAGCAGCAGAAGGAACAACAAAAACAATAGCTTTTTCTTCTACTCGAATGGTAAGGCTGGTTTTCAAAAGATTAAAAAAAGAAGAAAAAAATCATGTAATCTGTTCTTGTCAAAAAGGTCGCACTTAAACAAGCCATTCTGTTTGGAACTCACCATCCATCACCAACTTCTCTGTGGATTCAGTTGGCAGAGAATGAAACGAGGACCATAATCCCCACAAAAGCGTGGTACCTGCTAACCACCTTCTCCGGAATCTTGCCTTCCTGCAGGGCGTGAAGGAGCACAAGTGTGGCATTTGTGGGAGGGAGTTCACCCTGCTGGCCAACATGAAGAGACACGTGCTGATTCACACCAACATCCGCGCCTACCAGTGTCACCTCTGCTACAAGAGCTTCGTGCAGAAACAGACCCTGAAGGCTCACATGATCGTCCACTCTGACGTGAAGCCGTTTAAGTGCAAGGTGAGTACAGCAGAAGAGGGGGACTCATAGGGTTGTGTGACTGGTGGAAAGGAAAGAGCCCCAGAGGACCTTCTACTCTATTCATGAGTGGGCCACTAAGGCCCAGGGTGGCTACTTGGCCGCCTCAGGCACCATCCCTTGCTCTGAGTATCGTTTCATCCCAGTGATGCTCCACCTAGGTGGCACTGTGAGGTAAGCATTGGATGGCTAACTGAAAGTCAGTGGTTCAAAGAGGAGGTTAACCACTCCCATGAAGATGTACAGCCCGCAGAGCCTTAGGGTCCCCATCTGTCGGAGCGGGCGTGATGGCAATGGGCTTGTTGCTGTTGTGGTTTTTGGTGTGCTCACGCCAGCCCTCACTGGTCTCTGAAAAGTCTGCTGTCTGCCTCCCTGGGGAATCAGTGCTCCAGAGCAGGTATGTTAGGGCAAGAGGGAGGGTGGGCTGCATGTGGGGAGAGGTAGCCAGTAGGAGAAAGTGTGAGGGGTCGAAGGTCCATTTGGACAATGAGGTGTCCACTGGAAGAAGGGGAGGTGGCGAGAAAGCTCCTGCTTTAGATGGTGAGATCAGGGCTCGCCCTCTCCCCTATATAAGGCAGTGAGTAGGTCAATCACGGAGCTAGAGAAGTGTCCCACAGTCTCTGCACCTTTCTCCCTCCTCTCCTCCTTCCCTGCTGGTACCACGCTGCTTGATATAAATTGAAGGAAGCCCTTCTAGAGAGGATGGAGGAGATTTTGAGGCTAGCCCCTCACAAAGCTCAGAAAGGCTTGGTTAGACTTAGGACTAACCAGGCGCCAGTTATTTAAATTATATGCAGCACAGGGAGGGTCAAATATGGTGTTGGGTCATCCGGTCTCCTCGTCTAACTTCACAAGGGAGGAGAAGAATCCTGCTCAGCCTCAACTGCCCAAGACCGATGGCTGTGAGGTGGGAGTAAGACAGACCTTTACCTTCCAAACTTTTTTGCCAGTGCTGATGCCAGGATCGCTCCCATTGTGATCGCCACCTCTCTGCTGGGTTTAGTACTGGCCACACAGAACTCACAGGCCACGCTCACAGCTATGAGGTTTGTTAGGGAAATACCAGGTTACAATTCAATGCCAGGAATGACTCAGGACACAGGTCTTCGATCAGAACTGCTTCTCAGAGCCGTGTCTCCCGACAGGCTTCTCTCTCTCCTTGCCCTCGAGCAACTTGATCCTTTGACTCCATAATTTGGGCTCTTCCCTGTTCAAGCAAGAGTGACTTCATCCTTATTTCTGATGATAAGTGCTCAGAGGTACCACTTCTGTCAATACATCTTGGCCCAAATGTAGTCAGCTCTCTTTCTCCATGGGTCAGCACACCCGCTGTAGCCACCTTGCCCCTTGGGCTCCAGTTCCCTTCCTTCTTGTGTCAGTTTCTTGGTTCTGCTGCCTCTGCCTTTGCCATCTCTCACCATCTCTGGTGTTATAACTAACTCTCTCTTTCTTTGAGTCTAAGAGGTTCTCAGCACTGGGACCCTGGGTCCAGAGGAGCAGACCATTCGGAGCGCTTCTTTTGGTGGTAGTGAAGTCTCCACTTTCCACCCCTCAGGTGGCTCATCTTAAGCTGAAGGAGATGGCAAAACTGACCCTTGCTAAGGTTCCACGCATCTTATTTGCATGGTCCCACCCTCACAAGGGTTCTGTGTATCTTATTTGTATCATTAGCACTCTGTCTAATCACCTTGTTGGGCCATAAGCATCTTATTCGCATCATCCCATCTAATCATTGGGGGAGGGGAGGCACACACGGGAGGTGGAGGATTACAAATGCCAGGCAATAGGGGCCATCTAAAAGTGACCCATCACACCACAGAGATTGAGCTTCTTCGTGAACATATTGCGTTAGATTAAGTGGCATGGAGTTCTTATTGCATCACCCGAAGTGATGTAGGAGCTGGAGGTCTCTAGGGCCCTTTGCACTGACTGATGTGTTTCTCAGAAACGTCACGTTTCCCAAGCCTGTGGCTCCCTGCTCCCCTGTCCCTTTTCCACTTCTAAATTTAGAGCGAATCCCGTTCAGGATGGGCCGGTTTAATTCAAGCAATGTACAGACAACGTGTGCGCTGGCCACCACGAGAGGGCTGAAGGGAAAGAAGAGGGGAAGGATCCGATTCAGCCAGGATTTGAACCTTCTGCTCGAAAAGGAAGTTTTTCTTTTTTTTGTGACTCTGTCTGATGGGGTCCAGGTGATGTTTCTCTGTGGATCCCTAGTTCCAGAGTGGGGTTCACTGGTTTTGGAGGGCTGTTCCTCCTTTAATCCCTCTGCAGCTTGCCCCCCTCACTTAAAGGAACCCCCTAGGAAGCCGCCTTTGTCCTGTGCTGGCCACTGCTGGTATGGGGTGAGAGGGGTCAGGAACCAGAGCTTCCCTGGACCCGTGTGGGCTTTCTCCGGAGATAGGGGAGGGAGGTTTCTCTCTCCAGCCCTTTTCCTGCCTCCCCCTTGTGTTTCCCCTCCTTTCCTTCAAGTTCCCACTAGTCTGAAAGTCAAATTTATGTCCACCTGGAGTCAGCCAGGGCGAGGGGCCGGGGGAAGGGGGTGGGCGGAGAGGAAACTGCAGGCAGGATCGCCTGCACGCTTTTCAGGGCCTCTTGCTCAACCACTGTGTGGATGGCCCAGGACCGGCGGCGTTTTGCTCACAGGGTCGCCGCCGTGAGTTGGAACCGAGTGGATGGCACCTGGCAACAATACAGAATGAAAACGCGAGGCGCTGGGCCCAAACCTTGTTAAGCACTTCAAGAGGGCAACAGGGGACCGTGAAGCCAAGCACAGAGCCTTCTGAGAGTGGGTCTCTGGGTGACGGCATAGGCCACGCTCCCAGGAAGCCTGGGTGCCTGAGCCAGAGAACTCCTCAGACTGCCTCTTCCCTCTCCCTCTTGGCATTTCTTTGCTCTGCTTCTGACTGGCTCCATAGTGCCCCTGGGGCCCTGGCCTTTAGCAGAGCCTCTATCCTGTCAGGGGTTCCCTGCCTCCCCCAGTGGGGTTGCAAACAGGCTCTCTTTGCCTCTCTTCACTTCTGGACTTGAGCTTGCTCTTGAGCTTCGAGCATCGAACTGTGGAACTGTGTTGTTGTTATCTTATCAACCGGCGGTCGAGTAGATGAGGTCGCCAAAATATGGGGGAGCGCTTGGCACAGTTTGGTGGCCGTGGCCATCGCCTCCTCTCTGGCTCACAGTGACTTCACGTGTAACACAAGGGAAGGGGTCCCGTCGGAGACCCTCTCCAGGAACATCAGTCTGTGGGAGTCCGTTGCCATGGCGGCGGCTGTGTCTGTTTATCTCACTGACAGTTCCTTTGCTTTCACGAACCCTGTGGTTTGTCAAACAGGGCACGGGTTATACCACCAAACTCAAACCCAGCGCACTGTCATCTTGTCTGTCCCAGCTCAAAGAGGCCCTACAGGACAGGGTAGAACTGGCTCTGTGGGTTTCTGAGACTTTAGTTTTTTATGGGCATAGGAAGCCTTATCTTTTTCCTAGTGGTTTTGAACTGCTGACCTTGTAAGTAACAGCCCAACATGTAATCACTATGCCAACAGGGCTCCTCGGCACAGTTTCCAGCCCCGCCCCCTCCATCACTGTCTGTCAGTGTGGGGCCATGTGGGGGCTTGGCTGTGGCAGGTCACTGGCATTTCAAACACCAGCAGGGGTACCCACAGTGAACAGCTTTCCGTTTCAGCAGAGGGTGGGGACGAAGAGGCGGTCCCCTCCAGCACGTCAGGGGAATTGCCAGGGACACCATCAGCGACAGCATGGAAACATTGTCAGATACTGAAGACCTCATGAGCAGCAGCAGGGCACGGGCAGAGAGAGTGTCAGAAATGTTGAGGGGCTGCAAAACAGTCGAAGACCTTTGACAAGAGGGATCGGCACAGTGGTTGCAGCAATGGGCGCGACTGGAACAAGGGCTGTCAGGATGGCACAGGACCGGGTGGTATGTCGTTCTGTTGTACAGAGGGTCTCTCGGAGTCCAAACCGACTCAGAGACACCTAACAACAACAAAACCCTTAGTGGGCCAATCCAATCCTCTTCCACCTTCACCTTACCCATTCGGGGTCAACGGTAGTGGTAGAACCAGGCAGAAAGCGTCCCTGAAATGCAGGGATACATTGGGCAGAGCCAAGACCCAACAGTGAATGGAAAACTGCACACCATGCAATGCAATCCAGACAGAGCGATGCAGTGAGCACTCTGGCTTCATGTTTCAGGTCGCCCTTATTAAAGCGGCTCCTCCACCCCAATGACGGATCCATGAGTGTCTGCTTGTAGTTCAGAAGCTCAGCTTTAATCTGCTTTCGTTTTGTTGAAGACTGATTAGGCCCTGGCCGTTTGAATCCATGGCACCAGATCCTGTACAGGCGTAGGCTGGACCCTGGCAGGCTAGCTTTGAAACAATGCACACTTTCCACTTGAGAATGGGGTCTGGGTCTGGCCCTGGGATTGTGCGAGTCATCTGCATGAGTTACGTCCTCATGGCAGGTAGGGCCTCTCAGGAGACTGAAGGCCAGGAGCTGCCTGGAGAGGATTATCTATTGTGAGAGCAAAGATAGCTGGATCTAAGGAGATTTTTGTCACTCTAAGACACTGCTCCATTCTGACACATATCTGAAACCAGGACTGATGTCAATCACCTTGATCCAAAGCCTACCATATCCCTCCAGAGTGTCACCTGCTTGGGGTCCATAGACTCTCAAGTATGTCTGGGTCTAGAACTTAAGTCATGGAGTTCTTCATGTTCACAGGGAGCTCCAGATCCCGCTGGGTGGGCCGCCTAGAGACAGTCCTGTGGATGTTGCAGCCCGTCCGTACTGGGCTGGATCCTTGGGTAGAGACTGTGGGGAGTCGGAGAATAAAGAGAGGGAGGGAGAACTGTTTGCTTATTGGTATGGGATTCATAGAGTCCCTGGGTGGTTTGAATCACTGACACAATCTGCCCCAAACCCAAAGGATGGAGCATCCAGCCCACCTAGAGGCACAC